GTTTGTGTGTTTCCTTGACTGATGAAGCCTTCTGGATGGAAGGTGAAAAGTTTCAGCATAAAAAAGAAACTGTCCAGATGACTTGACTGAAAATTGTTGGATTGCATACCTGGATTATTGAGCATGGACTTTTTTCTGAATTGTTTTAATTACAATCTGTTTACACAGCAATGGTAGATGTGAAAAAGGTGCAGTTCCCTCACCACGCCACTAGTTGGTGCTATGTTCTTTGAAACTCTAAGTTTGCGCGCGTTAAAAAAAAAAAAGTTCTACCCGAAAGCCGCTACAATGGTCGAGATGGCAGAGAATAAAATGTTTCTATGGACAGACGACGAGGTTCAACCGTTGCGTCCGTTAAGTAACAGAGTGAAGTTGTACGAGATCCGTCTTCGATGATTTAAGTAAAGAGGTAGAAAATGAACGCTGTGTTGGAGAGCCGTACTTACATTTATAAGAGTCGGAAGCACAAACAATGCTCTGGTATCTGCCATTTCTTCTTCAAATTGTAGGAAGCCGTTATGTTTTGTGTCATACTGCACATGAGCCAGGGATTCCCTAACAGAAAATATCTGTTTTTGTCTGTTTACACATCAACGGACACCGGGACGTTTTTGAACCATTGCACTCTGGAACCCAATCTCAAATTGTGCCATTGTCAGAGAAAACATTCAATATTTTAGTGTAAATGAACTGTACAAACACAATAAAACTCTTCCATTTTCAGCAGAAATCGTTTTCATGTAAACAGGGCCTCAAATTTGTCTTCGAAAATGTGTCTTATCAAAAGACAGTGACATTACTTTTCAAATAAATAGGAAAAATTGCAAAGGTTTTTTTTGTTTTTACATGAGTTGACGTTGTCTGGAGCCATTTTTAACGTTGCCTTAATTTAATGGATTTCCCCACCTTGGCTGAGTCTTTGATTGAATATTTTTGAAAATGTTAAGTCCATGTTACTTTACTGGAAACAGCATAATTATAACATAATCAGTTCAGAGGGTTTGGATGTTTTTAGAAGCACCAGAACAGCAGGTCGTCTTCTTACACAGCATGCTGCACTTCCAGCAGTGAACAGGAAACTTGCGCATTAATTGACGTGTTCATTAATTTTCCTTTGAGCTTGCCTCTTTTAGAACTAGACTGAGTTAAACTCAGACTCAGCTTGGACCCTGATCTGGAGCTCTTTGGATTTGCTGTTCTTAGAGAACTGATCTGAGCCTTCTTGTCTGCAGCTCTTGATGTATCTGCCAAGACTAAGACCAAGAAAGTAGAGTACAATAATTACGCAATGTAGTAAAATGGTTGTTTTACACATGCACAGTTGGCATCTTTGGCCTCTCTCCATTCAGTCACAGATTTTTCCAGTTGCTGAATCCTTTATCTTTTGGACATACGGTGCTGAATAATCTCGTTCACATCATTCTCCCTCATTGTTCAGTTTTTTCAGTATTTATGTTTGTTTAATATGTTGATTCTGCGTTTGCGATCATGTGCTGAACAGAAACTTCTGACAACTCTCAACTAAAGGAGCAGTAATTCACATTTACTTTTCTTTATCTTTTGTTCAAAGCAAGTATATTAGCAACCTTTGTCACGGGACCGATGCCTTTTCTTTGTGTAAAATAATCCACAGTATTAAAAAAAAAGTATGTTGTCTCAACAGTTTGGTCACAGATCAGGCTTCATCTGACCTGCATTGACTTTGAAATCTTTAGTGAAAGCCGTGCTATGGGAAAAATCTTTTCAAAACAACTTTTTTTTTAATTCACTGTAATGAGCTCTTCTACGAGAACTCTCATTTTAATCCTTCTTTGTTTATGTCTGTGTTTTCTCATGGGAATCTCTTGAGAGGACTTTTATGAGCTTTTAAGTGCGATCGCATGACTAAGAATCAAATGTAGTCCACCAAAGGCCACTCGTGAGCTTGGATAGTATATATAGGCCTCAAAAATAACATTATCAGCTTAGGTAACTATTCTCTAAAACTTGTTTATATATATATTTTTTTTTTGTTTGTTTGTTTTCTTTGTTACAATTTCCGCTAATTTATTATCCATTTCCTCACATGATTTAAGTTCAGTAGTTCAGAATAAAGTGGGACAGACACACAAATGGCTCCACTTACGTTTTATAGCATACAAAGAACAACGGGCCTGTCGAAATATTCAAATGTGTCATTGTTTCTGAAAAGTTCCGTAGTTTGTGTCCACACAGACACACCAAAAATGGTACCGCTTTACAATAAAACTCCCCTTATAGATGGCTAATAAATAGTGTATAGATATGCTATTAATTCCTAACACTTTAATAATTGTTTATTATGCATTAATTAAGGGTGACAGAGAGACAAAATTGTTTCTTACCAAATAATGAGCCAATTCTGTTCACCTATATATTTCATCTAATTGTTATATTAAACATTTCAGACTAAGTTACTACCTTGTAAGCACAATGAGCATTTGTAAAAAATTTTTTAGGATATAATATTGTTATCACTGCATTATAAGTATCCACAACTAATATTATATGCTAAAAAATAGGTTTACAAATACTTATTGTGTTTAGAAGGTAGTAACTTAGTCTGAAATGTTTAATAGAACAACTCTAGATGAAATATATAGGTGAACAGATTTGGCACACTATTTGGAAAGAAACTGGTCAGTTTTGTCTCTCCGTCACCCTTAATTAGTGTGTAATAAGGAGTTATTAATGATTTATAAAGTGTTTATAGAGGAATTAATAATGTACCTATAAGCTATTAGCATCTATAAGGGGAGCCTTATTGTAAAGTGGTACCCAAAAAATAAAGTTGTTAAAAATCTACACTTTGGAAAGCAACTTTAAAAAAATCAGTATTTTCATATGAAACCTTCCATCTGTGGACAAGAGGTGGTAGAAAATCATAAAAATATTTGGAGCATTGTGAACGGAGCCGTTAGTTTTAAATAAAACGTTTAAGCATAAAAATTTTAAGGTATTGATCAAAACAAAAAAACATAAAATAAAATTTACTTAATCTAAAAGCTTGTAATAGCTCTGTCAAGAGACTCCTAAGTGATACTTTATTTACTGTACACATTTATTAATTAAACAGGAAACCAACAGAAATATTGTTTTATGTCACTGAACGTAGAAATACAAAAACAAGATATGTCCACGACTGCAACCCTTGACCAAAGCTATATGAATTATTCCTCTTTTTCTGACGTTTTGTCATTTTTAATATAACTTTTATATTAATTTATCCACTACCTTTTAGATAATTGTGCAAAAATGCCAAGAAAAAAACAAATGTAGTACTGTATATATAAAATACTAAAAATATCTCTCTGCTGCACAGCGGGTCAAAAACTCCACATATTACATTTTATTTTCCAAAATTACAATCCTCATTTACCATTTGCAAAAACTAGCTTATATTTTATTATGCAGACAGTTTAAAATTTGTTGTTTATAAAGTTTTATCACTTAAAGATATTATTACAGAGCCGTTTTAGTTTATTTAGTTTGATCCCCAGTGTAGATTTTTGTACAGATTTTAGCAGAAAAAGTAGATTTTCTTTTTTTTTTAAAGACTACCGTAAATGCATACACAAGGAAGGGTAAAGCATTATGAATGTGCATTGTGTGCAATGTAGTTATTAACCCTAAAATATATAATATAGATATCATATAAAGCCATATGAGTTTAACTTATTGCATACTTTAACTAAGAACAGACTGTGACATTAAATAAAGATCATTAAAACTGATGTTTACGATTTCCTGCCACGATGTTTCTTTCTGATATTATTAAAACGTGAAAATGCCATGTAGGAATTTTATTGGTTTGTGCTGTTGAAATTGTGTTCTTTTCCAATATTTAGTCTCAAGTCAATTCAATAAACTCCCAGTAGAAATGTTTTTTTAATTGAATTTTCAGTTATTTCATTCACATGCGTATAGCTTCAGGCTGCAGATCTGGAATCTGTTTTAACTTTAATCTATGGGAATGTGAAAGAAAATCATAGAAACAGTGACAACATGTTCTCTTTTAGTATATATTTTTCTACACTATGATGTTACTGTGTTTGCTGTACTTGTGGCATGAAAACCCTTTTTTTTTTTAAATATCACTGTCCGTATATCAACAATGTCAGCTGTGTGTGCAATAACAAGAGCTGTTATACAAGATTTCCTG